ACACATACAGCAAGAAAATCTTGGAGTCGGTAAAGACTGCATTTAAGCATAATATACCCATATCACGAAGCCATTGCAGCTATGGTGTAAGCAGTACCTGTCACTGAGGTTACCAGTTCAGTGCAGAACTACGGTATCGTTGTCTTCATAAAATTACATCGTTTCCTGACCATTTCAGAGTATGTAGTAGACAGATTTCCTCATGATATAGATACATACAATCCATATTTTATTACGCCCATGTGAGCGTCGTCTGTACACTACAAGTCAAGAATGGGGTGAATAAGCTCTCAGTGTATATACACTGAAAGATATAAACACCTCTCAATGTATGTATACTGAAAGATATACACCTTTCAGTATATAAACATTGAGGGACACCTCTCCGTGTATACACACACAAGGTTAGTTCCAGAGCTAAGGGAAATGTCCTACGAAGAAAGCTTAAGGAAAGTCGGCCTGACGACACTGGAGGACAGGAGAGTTAGGGAAGACATGATAACAACATACAAAATACTGTGGGGAATAAACAAGGTGGACAGAGACAGTATGTTCCAGAGAGGGGACACAGAAACAAGGGGTCATATTTGGAAGTTGAAGACCCAGATGAGTCAAAGGGATGTTAGGAAGTATTTCTTCAGTCATAGAGTAGTCAGGAAGTGGAATAGTCTAGTGGAGGCAGGAGCCATACATAGCTTTAAGATGAGGTATGATAAAGCTCATGGAGCAGGTAGAGAGAGGACCCAGTAGCACTCAGTGAAGGGGCGAGGAGCTGAGTCTCGACCCCTGCAACCACAATTACTTGAGTACAGTTAGGTGAGTACATTTTAATATATACCCATGTGGCAAAAATATCGGAGATAGTTATTATTTATGGAAGTTGTATCTGGACAAATTCATTTTTGATGCAACGTTCATGTGTTGAATGTGTGTCTGTCATCATGATTGATGTAACTCTCACAGTTGATATTCTAAACCTGTTTTTTTTTTACTGTACTGAATACAAGTGCTGTTTTTTTTATCATATTTAATTGTGCTACTACCACTACTACTACTACTACCACTACTACTACTACCACTACTACTACTACTACTACTACTACTACTACTACTACTACTACTACTACTACTACTACTACTATTTCTATTACTATTACTGTTACTATTACTTCTACACTGTTAATAATATTATAATAAGAATAACAATAATAATTATATTATTATTATCATTATTATTATTATTATTATTATTATCTTTATTATTGATATTATTCATTGATAATAAAATAATAAAAGTATATGAAATAAATTTTAAACTAATGTTTCTTAAACTTTTAATTTACATAATCTTTGAAAATTGAAAAAAAAATCTCGTATAATAATAAATAATATATATATATATATATATATATATATATATATATATATATATATATATATATATATATATATATATATATATATATATATATATATATATATATACATATATAATATATATATATATATATATATATATATATATATATATATATATATATATATATATATATATATATATATATATATATATATATATATATATTTAACTGCCTTAGAAATTATTCTTTTCACAAAAAATTAATAGTAATGTTATGAAGAAATTTTACACTGGATATACAATATATATATCTCAGTGTGTATATATATCGAGAGATTATTTTAATCTATATTTTAGGTATTAAGGTCTTCTTGATGTTAAATGTTAGGTAACAGTACACAAGTGCAACTAATGTGACATTTTATTGTGGCAACGTTTCCCTTGACAAAGCTCCTGGAGAGCGAAACGTTGCCACAATGTAATGTCACATTTATCGCACTTGTGTCCTGTTATCTAACATATTGTCAGTAATTCTACTAACATCATTACAAAAATTGGATATCAACATTATTTTTTTAAATTACTAATTCCTAGAAAAGGTGATAATTTTATACAGGATACATAAGTAGATAACACCCTTTCTTCTAATTATGGTCCCTCAACCTTGAAGTAGGGAACAAACATACTTATGGAAAAAATCTAGAGATTTATTCGCAAGAGCTGTTTATTTTCCTCCACTAACTCTTCCTATATAAGTATGTAATGAATATTTGTGAATACTCAATAATAACCCACATGGAGACAGAAACTCTGCGATCCTCTTCAGCAGATGATCCCACAAGGGGATCGAAATATACAGAACAATTAATCTTCTGTGTTTCTTCATGCGAGTTATTAAAGAGCAAAAAGACCATATTAATGTAGTAGAGATTGAAAAACAAATTGAGAATAAAGCTCTTTATAGTTAAGTTGGGTTTCTCAGACATAGTTGGTTGTCATCAGTGACCTCGTCAGTATAAAGAAACTTCTGACACATTTACAAGACCCGAACTAAAGGAAACAATAGTTCTTTTCTTTCAACAAACCGGCCGTATCCCACCGAGGCAAGGTTGCCCAAGAAGAAAAAAGAAAGTTTTTCTTTTTAAATTTAGTAATTTATACAGAAGAAGGGGTTACTAGCCTCTTGCTCCCGGCATTTTAGTCGCCTCTTACGACACGCATGGCTTACGGAGGAAGAATTCTGTTCCACTTCCCCATGGAGATAATAGTTATACACAAATATCCCCGAACATAGGAGAGAGAAGCTTATGACGACGTAAACAAGTCGCACTAACAAACAAAGGTGTGAAAGCCAGAATATATAGGAGAGAGGGACAGGGACGGGACAGAGAGCGGAAGAAGTTAAGAAGTGGAGGTAATAGTAATGCTGGTAGTGGAAGTAGTAGTAGTAGTAGTAGTAGTTGTAGTAGTAGTAGTAGTAGTAGTTGTAGTAGTAGTAGTAGTAGTAGTAGTAGTAGTAGTAGTAGTAGTAGTAGTAGTAGTGGTAGTAGTAGTAGTAGTAGTAATAGTTGAATACCGCTTTTGTGTTTCTTAAACTTTTAATTTATATAATCTTTGAAAATTGAAAAAAAAAAAATCTTGTATAATCCAAAAGTCAAAAAAAAAAAAAAAAAAGACAGCCAAACATATATTAAACTGCCTTGAAAATGATCCTTTTTACAAAAAAAATATTAGTAATGTTATGACGAAATTTTACACTGGATATACAATATATATATCTCAGTGTGTATATACATCGACGTATTTATTTGAGATCATGAGAAGAAAAAAAAACACATTATAATGACAGGAATAAACCCCGACTGTACAATGAAAATGACTAAATTAAGACTATATTTCCATTCGTCCTGGAAAAAGCTGATATTAGCCCAAGACTATTACAAACGTCGAATAGTTTTATTAATAGTAACTTAGCCTAATTATAAATTGAATTATTGACTTTTTAAACTTATTTATGGAACTGTTTTCCATATACACTAAATTAATAAGTTTGGATCGACTTAGTTTTATTTATTGAAATTAATATTAATATAATTTATATAATTTATAATTGTATATATGTCCTGGAAGTAATTGAGTATTTGATCTCATATTATATTGAAAATTATTTCGTAATATGACAGATTAGTTAACTTTGGTAACTGGTTTAAATTAATTTCTTATAGAAATTCCCAGGATTGCAATGATGAAATTGTGTAACATTAATGGTTAAAGATTGTTATATCAGTATCTACTGTGTGTGTGTGTGTGTGTGTGTGTGTGTGTGTGTGTGTGTGTGTGTGTGTGTGTGTGTGTGTGTGTGTGTGTGTGTGTGTGTGTGTACTCACCTGTTTGTGGTTGCAGGGGTCGATTCACAGTTCCTGGCCCCGCCTCTTCACTGATCAAAAACTAGGTCCCCTCTCTCCCTGCTCCATGAACTTTATCATACCTCTTCTTAAAGCTGTCTATGGATCCTGCCTCCACTACATCACTCTCCAGCTTGTTCCACTTACTGATAACTCTGTAACTGACGAAATGCTCCCTAACAACCCTATAACTCATCTGGCAGCTTGTGCATGTGTACTCACCTAGTTGTACTCACCTAGTTGAGGTTGCAGGGGTCGAGTCCGAGCTCCTGGCCCCGCCTCTTCACTGATCGCTACTAGGTCACTCTCCCTGAACCGTGAGCTTTATCATGCCTCTGCTTAAAGCTATGTATGGATCCTGCCTCCACTACATCGCTTCCCAAACTATTCCACTTCCTGACTACTCTGTGGCTGAAGAAATACTTCCTAACATCCCTGTGATTTATCTGTGTCTTCAGCTTCCAACTGTGTCCCCTTGTTACTGTGTCCAATCTCTGGAACATCCTGTCTTTGTCCACCTTGTCAATTCCTCTCAGCATTTTGTATGTCGTTATCATGTCCCCCCTATCTCTCCTGTCCTCCAGTCTCGTCAGGTTGATTTCCCTTAACCTCTCCTCGTAGGACATACCTCTTAGCTCTAGGACTAGTCTTGTTGCAAACCTTTGCACTTTCTCTAGTTTCTTTACGTGCTTGGCTAGGTGTGGGTTCCAAACTAGTGCCGCATACTCTAATATGGGCCTAACGTACACGGTTACCTGGAGGTTACCTGGAGGTTATTCCGGGGATCAACGCCCCCGCGGCCCGGTCCATGACCAGGCCTCCCGATGGATCAGGTGTGCAGGGTTCTGAACGATTCCTTATTACGATGTCGGAATGCTGTTCTGAGGTTTGCCAGGCGCCCATATGCTGCAGCAGTTATTTGGTTGATGTGCGCTTCAGGAGATGTGCCTGGTGTTATACTCACCCCAAGATCTTTTTCCTTGAGTGAGGTTTGTAGTGTCTGGCCCCCTAGACTGTATTCCGTCTGCGGTCTTCTTTGCCCTTCCCCAATCTTCATGACTTTGCACTTGGTGTGTGTGTGTGTGTGTGTGTGTGTGTGTGTGTGTGTGTGTGTTTGCATATAAAACACAGCACAACATGAAAGAATTCAATGACTTACCAATGCATCAAAGCAGTGTAACATTTAGCAACACATCAACTAAACACAAACGGTGAGTAATGAATTTTTCACTAACCCGTGGATTACTCAGACTGCTGGTAGTGCTACACACACGCACGCGGTGGTCAGTGACACGGTGAACACGGGGTCTCCGCCCAGTGGTCACTGGGAGGTTAGAAAACAGCACACGTGACCGTGTAGAAGTCAACTGACCTCGATGGCCAAACTTGACCATGTCTGTGTTGAAAAACACGTCTACCTACCTCCGCACAACAACTGACACATGATTAGTATTATCTCTGCTGATGCTGCTGTTTCTGCGGGTGTAAGTGATGCTGCTGTTGCTGATGCTGTGGTGTTGCTGCTGCTGGTACTACTGGTGGTGGTGTTGCTGCTGCTGGTGCTGTTGGTACTGGTGGTGGTGGTGTTGCTCTTGCTGGTACTGCTGGTGGTGGTGTTGCTGCTACTGGTGCTGCTGGTGCTACTGGTGGTGGTGTTGCTGCTGCTGGTACTGCTGGTGGTGGTGTTGCTGCTGGTCGTGCTGCTGGTACTGCTGGCGGTGGTGCTGCTACTGTTGCTGCTGTTGGTGCTGCTGGTGCTGCTGGTGGTGGTGTTGCTGCTGGTCGTGCTGCTGGTACTGCTGGTGGTGCTGCTGCTGCTGTTGCTGCTGTTGGTGCTGCTGGTGCTGCTGGTGGTGGTGCTGCTGCTGGTCGTGTTGCTGGTACTGCTGGTGGTGGTGTTGCTGGTGGTGCTGCTGGTACTGCTGGCGGTGGTATTGCTGCTGGTCGTGCTGCTGGTACTGCTGGTGGTGGTGTTGCTGCTGGTCGTGCTGCTGGTACTGCTGGTGGTGGTGTTGCTGCTGGTCGTGCTGCTGGTACTGCTGGTGGTGGTGTTGCTGCTGGTCGTGCTGCTGGTACTGCTGGTGGTGGTGTTGCTGCTGGTCGTGCTGCTGGTACTGCTGGTGGTGGTGTTGCTGGTGGTGCTGCTGGTACTGCTGGTGGTGGTATTGCTGCTGGTCGTTCTGCTGGTACTGCTGGTAGTGGTGTTGCTGCTGGTCGTTCTGCTGGTATTGCTGGTGGTGGTTTTGCTGCTGGTCGTGTTGCTGGTACTGCTGGTGGTGGTGTTGCTGGTGGTGCTGCTGGTACTGCTGGCGGTGGTATTGCTGCTGGTCGTGCTGCTGGTACTGCTGGTGGTGGTGTTGCTGCTGGTCGTGCTGCTGGTACTGCTGGTGGTGGTGTTGCTGCTGGTCGTGCTGCTGGTACTGCTGGTGGTGGTGTTGCTGCTGGTCGTGCTGCTGGTACTGCTGGTGGTGGTGTTGCTGCTGGTCGTGCTGCTGGTACTGCTGGTGGTGGTGTTGCTGGTGGTGCTGCTGGTACTGCTGGTGGTGGTATTGCTGCTGGTCGTTCTGTTGATACTGCTGCTGGTGGTGTTGCTGCTGGTCGTTCTGCTGGTACTGCTGGTGGTGGTATTGCTGCTGGTCGTGCTGCTGGTACTGCTGGTGGTGGTGTTGCTGGTGGTATTGCTGCTGGTACTGCTGGTGGTGGTGTTGCTGCTGGTCGTGTTGCTGGTACTGCTGGTGGTGGTGTTGCTGCTGGTCGTGTTGCTGGTACTGCTGGTGGTGGTGTTGCTGCTGGTCGTTCTGCTGGTACTGCTGGTGGTGGTATTGCTGCTGGTCGTGCTGCTGGTACTGCTGGTGGTGGTGTTGCTGCTGGTCGTGCTGCTGGTACTGCTGGTGGTGGTGTTGCTGCTGGTCGTGCTGCTGGTACTGCTGGTGGTGGTATTGCTGCTGGTCGTGCTGCTGGTACTGCTGGTGGTGGTGTTGCTGCTGGTCGTGCTGCTGGTACTGCTGGTGGTGGTGTTGCTGGTGGTGCTGCTGGTACTGCTGGTGGTGGTGTTGCTGCTGGTCGTGTTGCTGGTACTGCTGGTGGTGGTATTGCTGGTGGTATTGCTGCTGGTACTGCTGGTGGTGCTGCTGGTACTGCTGGTGGTGGTGTTGCTGCTGGTCGTGCTGCTGGTACTGCTGGTCGTGGTATTGCTGCTGGTCGTGCTGCTGGTACTGCTGGTGGTGGTGTTGCTGCTGGTCGTGCGTGCTGGTTACTGCTGGTGGTGTGTGTTGCTGCTGGTCGTGCTGCTGGTACTGCTGGTGGTGGTGTTGCTGCTGGTCGTGCTGCTGGTACTGCTGGTGGTGGTGTTGCTGCTGGTCGTTCTGCTGGTACTGCTGGTGGTGGTATTGCTGCTGGTCGTGCTGCTGGTACTGCTGGTGGTGGTATTGCTGCTGGTCGTGCTGCTGGTACTGCTGGTGGTGGTGTTGCTGCTGGTCGTGCTGCTGGTACTGCTGGTGGTGGTGTTTGCTGCTGGTCGTGCTGCTGGTACTGCTGGTGGTGGTGTTGCTGCTGGTCGTGCTGCTGGTACTGCTGGTGGTGGTGTTGCTGCTGGTCGTGCTGCTGGTACTGCTGGTGGTGGTATTGCTGCTGGTCGTGCTGCTGGTACTGCTGGTGGTGGTGTTGCTACTGGTCGTTCTGCTGGTACTGCTGGTGGTGGTGTTGCTGCTGGTCGTGTTGCTGGTATTGCTGCTGGTGGTATTGCTGCTGGTCGTGCTGCTGGTACTGCTGGTGGTGGTGTTGCTGGTGGTCGTTCTGCTGGTACTGCTGGTGGTGGTGTTGCTGCTGGTCGTTCTGCTGGTACTGCTGGTGGTGGTGTTGCTGCTGGTCGTGCTGCTGGTACTGCTGGTGGTGGTGTTGCTGCTGGTCGTGCTGCTGGTACTGCTGGTGGTGGTGTTGCTGCTGGTCGTTCTGCTGGTACTGCTGGTGGTGGTATTGCTGCTGGTCGTGCTGCTGGTACTGCTGGTGGTGGTATTGCTGCTGGTCGTGCTGCTGGTACTGCTGGTGGTGGTGTTGCTGCTGGTCGTGCTGCTGGTACTGCTGGTGGTGGTGTTGCTGCTGGTCGTGCTGCTGGTACTGCTGGTGGTGGTGTTGCTGCTGGTCGTGCTGCTGGTACTGCTGGTGGTGGTGTTGCTGCTGGTCGTGCTGCTGGTACTGCTGGTGGTGGTATTGCTGCTGGTCGTGCTGCTGGTACTGCTGGTGGTGGTGTTGCTACTGGTCGTTCTGCTGGTACTGCTGGTGGTGGTGTTGCTGGTGGTCGTTCTGCTGGTACTGCTGGTGGTGGTGTTGCTGCTGGTCGTTCTGCTGGTACTGCTGGTGGTGGTGTTGCTGCTGGTCGTGCTGCTGGTACTGCTGGTGGTGGTGTTGCTGGTGGTACTGATGCTGGTGCTGCTGGTGGTGGTGTTGCTGCTGGTCGTGCTGCTGGTACTGCTGGTGGTGGTGTTGCTGCTGGTCGTGCTGCTGGTGCTGCTGGTGGTGGTGTTGCTGCTGGTCGTGCTGCTGGTACTGCTGGTGGTGGTGTTGCTGCTGGTCGTGCTGCTGGTACTGCTGGTGGTGGTGTTGCTGGTGGTACTGATGCTGGTGCTGCTGGTGGTGGTGTTGCTGCTGGTCGTGCTGCTGGTACTGCTGGTGGTGGTGTTGCTTGTGGTACTGATGCTGGTGCTGCTGGTGGTGGTGTTGCTGGTGGTACTGATGCTGGTACTGCTGGTGGTGGTGTTGCTGGTGGTACTGATGCTGGTACTGCTGGTGGTGGTGTTGCTGGTGGTACTGATGCTGGTGCTGCTCGTGGTGGTGTTGCTGGTGGTACTGATGCTGGTACTGCTGGTGGTGGTGTTGCTGGTGGTGGTGCTGCTGGTGCTGCTGCTCATTATATATGCATTTTCCACATATGTTTCATACTCTTCAGTTATATTTACATCTTTGATTACCCAGTATACTGTTCATTGCAATCTTCTTACAGTTAAATACGATTTTACAATGTAAATTATACTTATTATTATTTTTATTCTCCTTTTCGTCTTCTTCTTCTTCCTCTCTTCTTCTTCTTCAAGATGGCAGCAGAAACACCATGATAAATTAGTTGATCAAGGTGGATTTAAATGCTTTTTCAGGTGTGTCAGTGTGCCAGCTGGTACCGTGAAAGAAACTATTTATTATGCAAGTACAGGAGTTAGATGACGGATTGCTCTCAGCAGGAGCTACCACGTGAAGGATAATATAAATAACGTAATGCAAAGGATGGAGGGGAAATGATACCGCTCTAGAGGTGGAAAATTTAATGACTGCCTCTGGAAGATGGGTGGGAATGTTGCTGTTCAGGAGATGGGAAATTTATTGTCTGTCTCTGGAAGATGGGTGGGAATGTTGCTGTTCTGGAGATGGGAAATATATTGCCTGCCTCTGGAAGATGGGTGGGAATGTTGCTGTTCAGATGGGAAATATATTGCATGCCTCTGGAAGATGGGTGGGAATGTTGCTGTTCTGGAGGTGGGAAATATATTGCCTGCCTCTGGAAGATGGGTGGGAATGTTGCTGTTCTGGAGGTGGGAAATATATTGCCTGCCTCTAGAAGATGGGTGGGAATGTTGCTGTTCAGGAGATGGGAAATATATTGCCTGCCTCTGGAAGATGGGTAGGAATGTTGCTGTTCTGGAGGTGGGAAATATATTGCCTGCCTCTGGAAGATGGGTAGGAATGTTGCTGTTCTGGAGGTGGGAAATATATTGCCTGCCTCTAGAAGATGGGTGGGAATGTTGCTGTTCTGGAGGTGGGAAATATATTGCCTGCCTCTGGAAGATGGGTAGGAATGTTGCTGTTCTGGAGGTGGGAAATATATTGCCTGCCTCTGGAAGATGGGTAGGAATGTTGCTGTTCTTGAGGTGGGAAATATATTGCCTGCCTCTGGAAGATGGGTAGGAATGTTGCTGTTCTGGAGGTGGGAAATATATTGCCTGCCTCTGGAAGATGGGTAGGAATGTTGCTGTTCTGGAGGTGGGAAATATATTGCCTGCCTCTGGAAGATGGGTGGGAATGTTGCTGTTCTTGAGGTGGGAAATATATTGCCTGCCTCTGGAAGATGGGTAGGAATGTTGCTGTTCTGGAGGTGGGAAATATATTGCCTGCCTCTGGAAGATGGGTGGGAATGTTGCTGTTCTGGAGGTGGGAAATATATTGCCTGCCTCTGGAAGATGGGTAGGAATGTTGCTGTTCTGGAGGTGGGAAATATATTGCCTGCCTCTGGAAGATGGGTAGGAATGTTGCTGTTCTGGAGGTGGGAAATATATTGCCTGCCTCTGGAAGATGGGTGGGAATGTTGCTGTTCTGGAGGTGAGAAATACAATGCCTGCCTCAGGAAGATGAGTGAAGATATCGTGGCTCTGTGAGAAATATCTGATGTGGAAAATTTATGACCAGGATTATTCAGGAAATGCACAAACGATTTCACAGAGGCACATAAATATTATAAACTTAGGTAATTGAAAAAATGTAGATTTATCCCAGAATAACCGTGTATATTCGCTGAGAGTTATATCTATATTTTAGGTATTAAATTATTATTGATTGGTGGTGAACAGGTTACATGTGGTTTGCTTTTGAAGGGCTCATGATTACAATTTACAAGCCGTAACAGATTTTGTTAAGAATAACAGAGTCTATTCTGATCATGTGGTGGAATCCGTTTTCTGTAATGGAAAGCACCATAACATTTTTTATATTTTAATAACGGGTAGTGGAAGACTTTATTAAGATAAGATAAGATTTCGTTCGGATTTTTAACCCCGGAGGGTTAGCCACCCAGGATAACTCAAGAAAGTCAGTGCGTCATCGAGGACTGTCTAACTTATTTCCATTGGGGTCCTTAATCTTGTCCCTCAGGATGCCACCCACACCAGTCGTCAACACCCAAGTACCTACTTGCTGCTAGGTGAACAGGACAACAGGTGTAAGGAAACGTGTCAAAATGTTTCCACCCGCCGGGAATCGAACCCGGGCCCTCCGTGTGTGAAGCGGGAGCTTTAGCCACCAGGCAACCGGATTACATTAAACTGGAAGACTAGGAATCCATTATAGCCCAAAAGAGTGACTTACCTTCACTGGGCGGCCTTAGGTTCTACCCCAATGGAAATAAGTCACTTTGATAATTGCACTTATGTGTATCTGTACCTAAATAAATTTATTAATTAACCCTCACCATCAATTAGCTTTTAGGTGTCTATTTTCTTCTACGTAGCAGAAAATTAATTATGAGATGTTTACCTGGAGTATACCTGGAGAGGGTTTAGGGGGTCAACGCCCCCGCGGCCCGGTCTATGACTAGGCCTCATGGTGGATCAGAGCCTGATCAATCAGGCTGTTACTGCTGGCTAGATAACTGCTTTTAGCCTGTAAAATTTATTCGTTTAAAAAATATAAATCCTAAATAATGTTGAAAACATTCCTCTGGTGCCCAGACGGAACATTCACTGTTGGTTGGGTATTACGTAGTGTGTTTATTATGTAGTATATTGGTGAATATTATATAAAGAAAAGCTGTCTATATATATTGTCATTTTCCGTGATTAGTTCTGAAACCGGACGTGTATTACTCCTGGCCACTCTGACAGACCAAGAATGTTACGCAAAAGTGTAACAGTGGGTCACTGTATAACGTAATCACTGGTATGCACATTAGCCTTGAAGCTGGTCGACTTTGCGAGAGTTGTTAAGGCTACATGTCACCTGCTCACAGTCAATCAAGACTAACCTCCAAATTAAAGATTAAACTCACTTCATATATTCACTGACAGATATTCACCTTACTATGTATATTTCTTGTTAAGTGTTCGGTCTTGGGCGAGTTCCTAACACCTGCTGCCTCTGTTCACCTAGCAATAAGTAGAAACTTTCGAAACTAATGGAAAGTAGAATGCTGCATCCTGGGTGAGGACCTAAGAATCCAAACGAAAATAAGCAACACTGCTTGACATCATTAGGGGTTATGATGGTCAATTCACTTTCATTCGTTATAATTCAGAATATAGACTGCCACTTTTTTTTTACCACCGTCAAGATATTAGTACCATTACCAGCTTCTTAATGGCAATCAGAAAGTGCAAAGAATCCGCATTATGAAGGTCTATAAAAGTATTACCACTTTTTTTTTATCTTGCAAGCACAAAGGTCGAGAACGTTGAAATTTGAAGACAAGGTCATTACGACACATAATAATCTGGAAGATTATCTCAGATTATTTCTGCTGTTTTTTTTCAACAGCTCATAAATATGAATACTAACTTTGAGTGGGTCAGAGATAAAACATTTTGACACTCATTTTGAAGAAAGAATGGGATTAATTGTTAATACTTCAGTTACGGCTCTCTCGGCTAATAACCAAAGGGAGGGACTAGAGCCAAATCTCATTACACTTGTTGGCCCGGTTCACCTAACCTTAAGGACACAGGATATCATATACATGTGTGTGTGTGTGTGTTAGTGTATTATAATGCTCTCCTCTTATATTTTGCTTATCTCCTCTCATTCTCCTCGTGTATCAGTAGTAATCGAGGTCCAAAGAGCGATACGTCATCAATAAAACGTGTCCTGTAAGAGAATACATTCATATATACCTTTATTCCACCTCTTATTCTGTAAATTTAACTGTCCACGAAAAGTCATTCAGACTTTTGTCATATCACAGAGACAATGGAGACCTGACGGGCTCACCAGAGTGACGATGAGTGATATTCTTATGAAGACTGACGCAACACAGCCAACACCTTATTCTCTACCTGATATTTATTTTGCAAGAAATTGTAAAGAACGTATATTCTCGTTTCGTTTTTTATTTCTTTATTGAAAAGTATCCTAGAGAAGTGAGTAAAATAGTTAAATATCCTTAAGTTATTGTAAACTTATCTGAAATATATTTAGTTGGATTAGGCTAAATTAAATTGCGTTTGTTATAATAAGGTTAGGTAAGTTTTCTAAGGTTCTTTTGATACAAAATTATTAATTTTTACACTAACATAAATTAAAAAAAAATATATCTCTAAACGTATAAGAGAAAATTTTAGAAAGGACATAATTTTAAATGAGTTCTTGTTAATTGACCATATATATATATATATATATATATATATTATATATATATATATATATATATATATATATATATATATATATATATATATATATATATATATATATATATATATATATATATATATATGTATAATGAGTAAAGTTAATTCTCTTTATTGATGAGCTGGAAACTAATTTCTTTTAGCTGGTGAATTTCACTGGAATTACTTCCTAAGTAGCGAAACACAAAGACTCTGACTCACGATATTGTTCGACACTCATATCGCGCTTCATATAATTTAATTATTTGATATTTACTCAAGGTGAATGGCCTCCCTCTTTTTATTACCTATAATTTTTAGATGAATTGTGTTCTTCTTGAAATGAATTGTTTTTATGTTTAAAAATACATTGTTGTAAATGTATTTCATATTGTCGTTTCTGTGAATGTGGACGTGACGACCACGACAGATCAAGGCTTAACTTTAATGACCGGAATTCAGAACGAAATAAGAATCGCTGCTTCGGAGGCGAAAGCCACGACTGCTGTGAGAAAGAGTCTACAGATTGTATTGAAACCTCATCAGTATACGGGGACGCTGTAAATTTTGAAGGTAATTGATATACTGGTTTGTCAGTTATATTTCAGACACACACACTCACACCAGCGAGGAGGAGCCAGGTGCTATGAATCGACCCCTGCAACCACAAATAGGTGAGTACACACACACACACACACACACACACACACACACACACACACACACACACTAGTAAAAAGAATAATAGACAACATGAGTTCCATATTTGCTCGTAACAACTATCAACTTTCCCAGACTGTCAGGTTCCCTCAGGTACAAAGTAAACATTCACCGTAATTCCTGGACCACTACAGTACACAACCATCAGTACTATATTTTAAACTATTTAACCCAATACTCGAATACATTTGCGTTAAGATACGTGATTATCTGATGAAAAAAACACATGGAAAAATACGCTTGTATTGCCACTCTGTTTAGTTCTTCGTAGATCTTTATAGTGTCAGCGTCAGGCTCAAGTTAATGCAGGAATTAAATCAAATATTTTGTATCTTTAGTGGCAAGTAGGGATCTCATAAACAGAATTTGTTTATTGATTTTTACGTGCGTTGTTGTGTTTGTGTGTGTGTGTGTGTGTGTGTGTGTGTGTGTGTGTGTGTGTGTGTGTGTGTGTGTGTGTGTGTGTTTTATGCAAATCTTCACTAACGTTCGTAGTAACATCAAGCTTCAAAAGTGTTCATTGATAAATAATAATAATAATAATAATAATAATAATAATAATAATAATAATAATAATAATAATAATAATAATAATAATAATCTTCATATACTATAATTAATTAAGACTTCAAACTAAATTTCAGAGTTGACAGTCAACTTAAAATAAGGAATGTATATGTAAATTCTTAATAAATGAAAATTATTTATTTTGCATTTTGTGTAGTATATAAGAAATGTTGACCAATATCTTCAGTTTTGACCAGGAACGCAGGAGACTTGACTCAGGTGGGAAATGTTACTTTCTGCCGTAGTGACCATCACGACGACGCTCACAGATGATGGCCTTTTCGTGGTGGCAGGCGACATCGTGCCATCTAATGCCATCCTTGTAGAAGTCGTTGAGTACTGCCAGACAGAACTCCTTACCGTCCTCTCGGTTGTCCGGTTGTGGAATTCCCAGACTGTGAAAGGAAAGGTGTTTAGTCCTTTGCGCTCTTGCCTTTGCTGGAACACTAAAAATGATCGTTATGTTATAAATGGAAACTTTAAGAACCATCTTTATATCGAGAATGACAGATATTTTATTTTTGTCACTGAATAATGTTTTTAAATGGCAGTGACTGAAATTTGGAAATCTTGATCTTAACTGAATCATTTTCTTGATTAATATAACGTCAGGAAAGTCCATAGACAAGACTCACCCTCCAGTGTGAGACCAGTTGATACCGTAGAAGGGATAGCCAGAGGGCCAAGCGAATTCATAGCCATTACGGTAACCACCTGTCCAGATGTACTCCAGTTTGTCTGTGATAAACAAGTATTAGATTACCCAACTAACTAATATCAAAGAGGATCCCTTGGCATATTACAAGGCTAGGCAATAAGATACCTAAGAGCTGTACAAGTGTCTTTCACCAATTTGTCGATACTGTGTGTAATATATAAAGGACTCTTGATTTGACCTCTTTTTTCCTCTAGCAAATGTGGAACAACTCTTCGCTCACTCTCTTCCCCTTTCTTTTTACAAATGTACCCGAGTTAGTTTATTTATAAAGAACTCCCAAGCACATTTATTACGATCATTTAATTAAGAATTAAAATGAGGAAAAATCATAAAGGAGAATAGTTTTTGCAAAATCTTGATCATTACAGTGGCTTTGTATACATAGATTGTGCTATAAATGTTTCTGATTGTTAATACGTTTAAACTTTACAGGTTTACCATTCAAGCAGAAAAACTATGGCAAAGACCAGAGGAAACCTCAAACCATATAATTGTTGACGTTTTACTGACCTTGGTAGATGATGTTGGAGATAATTTTGTCCTCAGCTGGAGATTCGATGCTGACGCCCTGCCATCCCTTGCCCAGACTGGAGCAGTAATAGTTAGCGGTATGCCAGTCGTACTTCTTGCCTCCGTCGTGACGCCACGAGAAGTGGTAGTCGCTATACTCCAGGCTCAGGTCCACCTGGAATATGGCAGAGTTTGAAGACGTATTTCTGGGGAAAGGCTTTGAAGACGCATTTCTGGGAAAAGACTGAGAGATTAGAGTTTCTGTCTCCGCTGTTCGCTAACGGAGTATCTACCCTCCACAACTCCCTGAGATGAATTACTCCCACGGGTTTTGCCGCTTCACATGAAATGTAATTATACAGTAGGATTTTTATTAATTATTGTTTATTGTATTCACTAGTCTATATATATATATATATATTAATAATTCAATTAACAATTTAAAAAAGGTTCTTTTTCAGTATGGTATTTAAGGAGCGTGATATTTTTACGAGCTAGATCAGTAAGTCAATGGAAGACCTTGATCAAGTGATTGTCAAATTTCTTCTAACAAAATACCACTACCAATTTTAATTTCCTTCTTGTAACAGGCTTTAAAATAATCCCTTTTGTTTAATCTTAGAGGGTTTCTCAACTGGCATTACTCATGCATAGTTACGGAACTTACCGGGCCGTTGCCTCCGCCGCCATGACCAAATCCACCTCCTCCGAATCCACCGCCTGCATATCCACCATAATTCTGGGCCGCCGCCACAGACACCACGGTGAGTACCAACACAACTTTCATCTGCAACACAGACATTCACCTCTTTGATCATTCACGCGTGAGTGAAATGTATTAGTGAAATCACGATCAGCTTGTGGAATTATCACACATTTCGAAGCTTTCCTTTCCGCTAGTTGAGCATCCAACTCTCACGGAAGGACACATCTTTGACATCATCCGGAGGTCTCATCCAGCAGTACACATCATTCACAGCATCTGGATGCTTCATTAGATAATATACAACATTTACAACACTTGGATATGACCATCATTTACTAGCAAATTCCCAAAAATGCATTAAGAATATTTGTGTATTTCTGTGATTTCTAAACTACAGTTAAACTCACCAGAAGACAAACACATTCACCATGTATATACACAGGGATGTGTATATCCTGGCGTATATACACTGAAAAGTGTATATCTCTCGCTAAGTGTTATACGTGACAGTATAAACAAACCAAACCACGGGCGGGGATAGAACTCGCGATCAGAGAGTGGTATGGTTTGTTTGCAATCGTGTCATTACGATTTCGTGAGTGACAGTGTAAGCTAAGCTCCCCAAAGATGACTGCTTCGCCCAGCTGAAGAGCAGAGATTAATTCACCAGCACAATACAGCTACACCCAATGTAATATAAATGCTATCACATAATGGGAAAACGCAATACCTACCGTGTCCAGAGAGGAAGTGTAGCCTCCGTCAGGCCTCTCGCTCTTATATATCTCGCGTCCATTGTGACTTCAGGGTCGACGAAAGCACCCCAGCCTCCCGTGACAAACATTTCTTGCCACTTGGGGTTCAGCATCAAAACGATATTGCCTCAGCACAAAAAAAATGAGAATCTCTGAATAAAAAAAATGATGAAATCATTCATTTTACTTGGGCTCGGAAGACTTTCAATCTCAAAATATTCATTTGCAATGGATTTCTAAATTTCCTCTTTTACGGATGGGAATTGGTTATTATTATTATTATTATTAACACATCGGCCGATTCCCACCAAGGCAGGGTGGCCCGAAAAAGGAAAACTTTCATCATCATTCACTCTATCACTGTCTTGCCAGAGGGGTGCTTTATACTACAGTTATAAAACTGCAACATTAACACCCCTCCTTCAGAGCGCAGACACTGTACTTCCCATCTCCAGGACTCAAGTCCGGCCTGCCGGTTTCCCCGAATCCTTTCATAAATGTTACTTTGCACACACTCCAACAGCGAGAGGCTGAAAGTCCATGCCTCTCGCACACGAAACCTCCTTTATCCCCTCCCTCCAACCTTTCCTAGGCCGACCCCTACCTCGCCTTCCCTCCATCACCTCAACAACCCCTTCTCAGCCTTCTGGATAATAGTTTTGGTAATCCCGCACCTCCTCCTAATTTCCAAACTGCGAATTCTTTGCATTATATTCACACTACACATTGCCCTCAGACATGACATCTTCACTGCCTCCAGCCTTCTCCTTGTTACAACATTCATCACCCATGCTTCACATCCATATAAGAGTGTTGGTATAATTATACTCTCATACATTCCCCTCTTTACTTCCACGGACAAAATTCTTTGTCTCCACAGACTCCTAAGTGCACCACTCACCCTTTTCCCCTCATCAATTCTATGATTCACCTCATCTTTCATAGATAGCCGAAATTGGTACCAAGTAAAGTTGATTTCAAAGGATCGTGTAAAAACTTCACAATAGACTTCGTAATTAATCAATTAATTAATTAATTAATTAATTAATTAATTAATTAATTTCTTCGAAATTAATCAATTATAGTTAAATCAACTTAAACTTACGATATCCAGAAACCTTCGAGATCACAAAGAAGTTCTGTGAAGAGGTTTCTTCGTTTATCAGTAAAAATGACAATTTTACAAATACAGATACTTCCTTACACGTATTGTCTGTTCAACCTGTAATAAATTGGAACCTTGGTATCGTGTCACAAATAGTTTATGATAACGACAAGTTGATGAGCAGGACATACTCATATGTACAACACTTAGGAATCTTCTACTGCCTCCAGCATTATCACCTCTGTATTTGGCATTACCGATACCTAAGTGTGGTACCTGGGTGTTAGTTAACTGTAGCAGGCGGCATCCTGGAGGACAGCATACCCTAGATATACCTGGGCACTGAACTGACGAGAGATAACAGCTTCAAGCCTGTAAATTCAACCGTGCTAAAAAAAAATTGCCGAACAGAATTGCAAGTAAGAAAATGAAGAGTATCGTGGGGGATGGAACAATACTTTCCAGAGTCTCACGCTGCCAAATATGTCACGAATATACGTATAAAACAGCGTAAAAGACCATCATGATATAACATTGCACAAGTGCTACATGTATGATTAACTGAATTATTCTTACCTTGAATGTGATGAAATGAATCATTCTTACTCTGGATATAAGGAATCGAATCATGCTTAGAGTATGATACAATGAATTTTTCTCACTTCCAGTGTGATGAAATTAATGATTCTTATTTTGAGTGTGATGATATGAATAATTTTCCTGAGACAGTGATGTAATTAATCATTCTTACCCTGAGTATAATCTGAGGAATCATTCTTACCTTGTGCAAATAACTCACACAGGAGAATGAAGCTTATGATGACGTTGTTAAAGTGTCATTCTCCTTAGTGCGAGTTATTTGTGCAGGAAGCGACGCCATTTGCCCCTTCTGAGACGGTTGGGTCCCTCAGGGCTGAAAGGGGCTGAAGGGTGCTGAATATCCCCCCCTTCCTGGAGAAAATTTCTCCACATCACTGGTCAATAAAAAAAAATAGTTGCCAAAGATTTTTGAAGGTATTTAGGATATTTTGGGGCTGCTGAATTCGAAAATAGGTTTTCCAGATTGTCTCTAGTTTGTGAGATATTGAATACCTACCCTCAATTTACAGGAAATTTAGCCACAACCCGTGTATATGTAGTGACTATTTATATATACTGATAGTTTTAATTAAGATTACAATTTTATTTTTAAATGATTTAATATTTAACGAATGGAGTTGTATCAGCAACGACCACCTGACAATATTGTAACCTTTATCTTGTTATTTTTACCAGATGAACTTGAGTTCTTCACGAAGAGTCTGCTTGAACAATCCCATCCCATTTTGCTACGTTTGTGGCGAATACTCTTTGCAGAAAGAAAGAAAAGGCATCACATATTTTGTAAAACCAGTTTATCTTGCTTATTTTTGAGTGGCACTTGGAGAACAAGACAAGTCTTGGACTCCCCATATGGTTGCAAAACCTGTGTAGAATGCTGACTACAGTGGAAATATAGACAAAGGAAAACTTTAAATTTCAGTGTGCGTATGGTGTGGAGAGAACCGAAAAACCACCACTACGATTGTTATCTCTGCATGGTGATTGTGAAAGGTTGCAAGTGATACAATAGTGTCAAGTGGGAATATCCTGATTTGGAATCAGCAAGGAGACTTGTGCAACACAATAAAGATGTTACCATACCAGTGTTTACAACACTGTCTGACCTTCCGTTGTCAGATGTTGAAGAAACTCAGGGCTTAGGATGTAACACAGATGATAGCAGTGGAAGTGAATATGAAGTAAGCATTTCAACTTCCCAGCAGTTCTCCCATGAAGAGCTCAGTGATCTGATACGTGACCTCAGTTTGTCAAAGCAAACATCTGAACTTTTAGCATCCACACTAAAAGAAAAGAACTGTCTACAACAAGAAGTTAAAATAACAACTTATTAGGCAAGAGAGGTGGAACTCCTTCATTACTTCAGCCAAGATAAAGAACTTGAATACTGCAATTCCATCTCTGGACTTCTTCTTCGAATGGGACTTAAATATCGACTAGGAGATTGGCGGCTGTTTATAGACAGCTCCATTAGAAGCTTGAAATGTGTCTCATTGCACAATGGTAACCAAAATGCATTTCTTCCAATTGCTCACTCAACAAATCTGTGCTGATAACCAACAGAAAAAATCATAAAAGCAATGTTTACATACGCACTAATTAGTGGTATCTGAATTATCTTCCTATGTCAGCTGTTATTATATATAATGAAGTACTACCATGTATTACATGATTTGGCTTTTGCATGATCTAAAAATAAAATCAATGCGATTTGTAAGTCACCCCCGCCTGATCAATATATTTTTCATATCTTTTGCATTTAACAATGGGATACCAAATCTGTCAAGCAAAACCGATGACATATTCGGAATAAGCACCACAAACTTACCCTAAAAACCGTGGTAAAGTACTATGGACTATAATACACAGTTGCAGTTCGAGCCTGTGGACGTAGAGACAATTTTTGTAAATAATTTCACCTGTTTGCGAATTGTTAAGCATTATATATATATATATATATTATATATATATATATATATATATATATATATATATATATATATATATATATATATATATATATATATATATATATATATATATATATATATATATATATATATATATATATATATATTATTTGAATATTAGTCACAGTAATTGCAGATAATATTTACGTGTTGACAATGATATGTAGTTACCTGGGGTACAATATAATATTTAATATCCGGTGCTTTGTCATAATGAGTCAACTCTTATGTCTGTGGCCTTTACGCTGGCTTTATAAATCTATGTTACAATTAAAATAAATTGGCGTTCTTGAGCCGAGTAATAATTCATATTATTCTTTTTCACCATAAAATATAAGAAAGTCAGAGGGAAAAAATGGCTGTATCAATGACCACTGTTATTTTAACGTGTGTGTGTGTGTGTGTGTGTGTGTGTGTTTTACTCACCTAGTTGTACTCACCTAGTTGAGGTTGCAGGGGTCGAGTCCTAGCTCCTGGCCCCGCCTCTTCACTGGACGCTACTAGGTCACTCTCCCTGAGCCGTGAGCTTTATCATACCTCTGCTTAAAGCTATGTATGGATCCTGCCTCTACTACATCGCTTCCCAAACTATTCCACTTCCTGACTACTCTGTGGCTGAAGAAATACTTCCTAACATCCCTGTGATTCATCTGTGTCTTCAGCTTTCAACTGTGTTCCCTTGTTGCTGTGTTATATCTCTATGGAACATCCTACTGCTGCTGCTACTACTACTACTACTACTACTACTTCTACTACTACTACTACTACTACCACTACTATTACTACTACTACTGCTACTGCTGCTGCTATTACTACTACTACTACTACTACTACTACTACTACGACTACGACTACTACTACTAGTACTACTGGTGGTGGTGGTGGTGGTGCTGCTGCTGCTACTACTGCTGCTGCTGCTACTTATACTACCACTGCTACTATTACTGTTACTACTGCTACTACTGCTGCTACTACTGCTACTACTACTACCACTACCACTGCTACTACTACTGCTACTACTACTACTGCTACTACTACTACTACTACTACTACTACTACTACTACTACTACTACTACTACTACTAATAATAATAATAATAATAATAATAATAACAAAAATAATAATAATAATAATAATAATAATAATAATAATAATAATAATAATAATGAAGAAACTGTTTTAAATTATTTTTTTCATATTTATAGAAACACGCAGATGTATAGAAGTGTTATAGAAGTTTATAGAAATGTTTCCAGATATATACAACAGTCGGCCACTGGGTTCAAACAATAACAGTG